TGATTTATGAAATGCTGCAATCTGATTGGATTATGCAAACAAACAAACAAACTTATTGCATTTTAGTGGCCTGATTTATGACGCTATAACCCTTTCTTTCAGAAAAGGGAATATATCAATTTATTATTTTCTATTCTGGTTATTGTTGCTGTTGTTCACTTTATATATTCTCTCATTTCTCTATTTCTATATTAATCTAGCCTATTTCTATTTCCGTTTTCAAAAAATATGCAGAGCCCTGATGAGTGTTTCTTATTTTTAAATAAAATACACGAAACGCGTTGGCAAACCAATCTTCTGCATTTATTATTAATTCAAAACATCTAATTATTTCAAATATTTTAAATTCTAAAAAGATCGACTGCTGAAGAGGCAAGAGTTGAGATCAGCAAATTAATTTATACCATCATTATATAGATTACTTTGTTTTACACCTGATTTACACCCTCACCCTCATACTCACCCACCCTCACCCATACCCACACCCTCACCCCACCCGCACCCACACCCACACCCTTTACAAATCTGTATGGTCTTTTCCACGGGAGAGTTCGATCATAAGCTCTAATTTTGTCTTCCATGATAACAAATTTTGATGAACTTTCTCTTTCGGATCTCCTCGAAAGGTTTTGATGGACATTTGTACGTAACTATCTTGTGCTTTGATCAGAGCTAAATAATTCCTTCTCAAACCCACTTTCTTGTATTCTTTCAGAAGTTCCAACAAGCGATTTTGTAATTCCAAGATATTCGTCTCCAAGCGGTTTAATTGCTGTTGTAAACTTTTCAGAGCGACCATCGCTCGTTCTTCATCCGTTTTTGCTGAATTAAATTCTTTTTCTGTATCTGCATCTATATAGTATCTCCTTTCCTGTTTTGTCACCCATTTTGATTTAACATGATAATGATCTTTATACGAATGGCCACACTTCGTACAGGTCAAACCAGTTGAATCCATAGCTGCACAACCTTTGAAAATTTCCGCTCCTGGCTCAAGTGTCAATGGTAAATAGCAATTGAGGTGACAATTATGATGACAACCTGCATGTGCACACAGTGTGTTATGTTCATCTGTTGGTTCTAGGACTGTTTTTTCGGTCAGTTCAGTTTTGTTAAAGTTCATCGATGTGATCTTTTTCTTCTGAAATAATTTGATATTTTCTTGAATTTCCTGAATTCTCTGTGTTTGTCTCATCAAATCTTCGTGTTCACTTGTTAAGTTTAAGTATTGTTGTTCAATTTGTTCTTTTAATTTGTATAATTTATGGAATGCATTACTTCCGATCGATGGAAAGTGCGAAGTTGTGTTGTACATATCCCGAATGGTTGACACTGTTCGTTGAAATGAATTTGTTAAAGTTGCAATCGTTTTCTCATCCGCAACTAATCGTCGATCGTCTCTCAGTTTTCCTTGAGCCTTTTCTAATTCACATATGGGATTGTCGATAAGCCAATAGTGTTGAATTTCCTTTTGCACATATTTAGTCAAAGTACTTATGTTAAAATTTAGTTTTAAAACATTGTTCACATTGGTGAATACAACAACAATATTCGATTGAATTTCACGTGGCATGATGGCAAAGATTTCTTCGAGAACGTATTTTAATCCTTCGGTTTCTCGTGATTCACGTCCGTTAATAACTAAAATGATACAATGAACATACTCTAATCGTTCAATAGCACGTATGATTGACTTCGTATGATTTTGATCGTGTGTGAAACCACGAGTATCAGCTAAACCAGGTGTATCAAGGATTCTCAAAGTATATTTCTCGAATTTCGTCGAATAGTCTTGGCAATCGGATGTTTTACTGTTCATTGAAGTTCCGTTACTTCCCATTTCGAGTGACACGTTGTTGTATAAGCGGAGACTTTCATTTAGGGTTTTACTGTTGATTTTGAAATCTGCAATTTGATTGATGTTGAGTAGAAGATTCAACAGAGATGTTTTTCCACTTCCTGTTTGACCGATGAGGACGATATTGAACGGAGCGTGGGAATTGAAAAATTTCCCTGGCATAAATTGTTTGATTTGTTCACGTGACCAGTTAAGAAAAAGTTTAGGAATGATCTGTTCAACTTGTTTACTTGTCGCTTTCACCAAACTTCTGAGTGACTCTCTCATCGTATTCCATTCCAATCCGTAGCTGGACAAAACGCAAAAAACCAGTAATAAATAAATAATAATTCTCATCGATGAAAATATCTAGAAGAAGAGATATTCACGATTATAACTGATGTTTATCACTGTTTAGAGCGTATATGAAAGACTACTATGCGAAAAAAAGAACGCGCTGGCTGCTGTGGATGTGTAATCTACACTCCTAATGAGAAAAGAAAGCGGGCAAAATTTACGATATGCCTTATCTATTACGTTTTCAGTTTTCGTTTTTACCACCAATAATACACGTAGACGTGTCATTACATCGCATAAAGAAAGAAAATTGCAATCTTCGGTGTTTTTCTCTCGCAATCAAATCTGAATATTATTGAGATATGCTACAGACAATACAGGACAAATTAGATGAACAAGCACGACAATTCACTGGTGTACCAAGCAATCAACCAATACGTACTCTTCTTTTACTTGGTCCATCTCGTGCAGGTAAATCAACAATCAGTCAAATTCTTCGTAATAGTCGGTATGAGCCATCCGAACCCAAACTCTATTCTGCTACGAGGGAACCTGAGCATCACTCTGTTGGTAGTCTACAAATAATTGATATGCCTGGCTTTTGTGACACTCAACCTCAATCGAGCGACTTCAAATTGTCCAACAAAAAGATCTTATCTATGCTGGAACCAGAATTAGACGAAGCAGATCTAGTTGCCTTTGTCTTCAGTTTAGCGAATGGCATTGACGAAGCTGCCGTAGAGTCGATGCGTCTCTTTCAATCAAAATTTCCTCGATTTACGAAGAAAGTAATGTTGGTCATAACACATGCTGAAGAAATGGGCGAGGATCAAAAGCATCAATTAGTTGAAGACTTTTTTGGCCATCAGAAAGTTATCAAGTACCGTTTGAGAGAATTCTTTCAGCAAGGAGTTCATTTTCTTGGTTCAATTCGATACGAATCCATTCAACCGACAAATTCTACTGCAATCTTTCGAGAACATGGAAATGTTTTGCAAATGCGACAACAATTCATAGATAAATGCTTTCAAGCAAGGATTTTTAACAGAAGATATCCAACACGTTCAACATATTCAATCAAAACACTTGTCTTCATGTTCATATTATTCGGGATTATTGCGGTCATCTCAACTATATATCTGACTAAAATATGGAAAGGTTCAATATCAATTAAAAAAACACCCGCCTGCAGTTCAAACACGAAAAGCACGGAAACCATACCAAATGAATGGTTTGACGAAATGCAAACTAAGTTTCAGCAGACATTAGAAGAAAATTTAAAGATTGCCGACGAACGATTTAAGAATGCGGAAGATCGATTGAAAAATGCAGAAGAACGATTCAAAACTGCGGAAGAACGATTCAAGAATGCTGAAGAACGATTCAAGGATGCTGAAGAACGATTCAAGAGTTCTGAAGATCGACTTCAAAATGCCGAAGAAAGATTTAAGAATTCTGAAGAACGATTCAATAGTACCCAACAAATCATTAATCAATGGCTGTCAAATAACACTTGCTCACGAAATATACCTAAAGTTACTGACAAGGATGAGGGGAAGGAAGAAAATTCGATAGAGGAACCAAGTAATACCAAACAGGAAGATTCGGTGGGAAATAAATCTGAAGAAGGTTGGCTTGATCGGATTATAAAGTTTTTAGAATACTAATAGTTGTAAAACATTATTGAACATAAACTTCTATTTTACCGTGTTCTTATTAAGCAAGTTCTTTTCAAGTAAATTTTTTGTTTCAGACATTATTGTATATCAATAAACGACAATGAATCAACGAGAGAACAATGGCGAACATCAGCCAGGTAAGATCATTGTCTGAAATAATATTCGTTGTTCCTATTGATTTGTTAGAATCTGAGGGTGCGATGACTTTTGACATGATGATGGATGGAATAAGACCGATAATCAACGAGCAAAATACTTATCCATTTAAGAGATGTATCCATCGCAATCTCTTGCTTCTTGGCAGAACTCGAACAGGAAAATCAACTATATCCGAGGTCATCAGCGATCCAGCTTGTGTGGCCAAAGACGCAAAACTCTTTTCAGAGACCCGAAAGATCACTCTGAATCGTGTTGCGGCTAATCACCGCGAACAAACTTGCTATTTCAATATTATCGACTCACCCGGTTTATACGATAATACAATAGAACAAAAGGAACATTTAACCAACGAAAAAATTCGGCAATACATCAATGAATGCATTACAAAAGATGTTACTGATATTCATGCATTCGGATTCGTTTTCAGTGCAAATGGTGGAATTAATTCCGAAGATATCAAGTCAATGATATTTGTCAAAGAAAAATATCCCGAATTAAAAAACTCAATAGAAAAAGAAAAGAAAAGAGTAGATAGTTAAGTATTTTGAAAAAAACTAACTATTTGTCTATTTCTCGAATCGAAGAAAATACTCAACTCAAACTCGAAAAAAATAATTAATTAAAAGATTTTTTGTTG